ATGATATATATATGTATATATACATACATACATACATATATACATACATACATACATACAAACTAAATAGTACGCCTTGTGGAAAAAAAATAACTGTTTTTGTCTTTTAGCACATTACATAATGAAGTGACACGTGTTTCTAACTTTATATCTGTCTTTCTCTTTCTCACTTTCTTACTGGCTTATGAAGAAATTAGCACAATATGCCTGAAGTGCGTATTTTAAAAAGGATAGCTTCGATCATCTGAAATTGCATACTAATTGTATGATCTCATTTCAAGCGTGCGGTCTAACCACTTCAAAGATAATTAATGTACTGAAATGATGATGATGATGATGATGATGATGATATGGTATGATGGTGATCGTGATATATATGCATACATATAATATATGATGATTGTGAATGTGTTGTAGAAGAAGAACGAGATTTATTATAGCGGAGTACGTATATGTGCTTATGTTTATTTAAAGTTCCGTGTGTTTAAATGTGTAATTGAGAATTGATAAAAAAAATTTAGTGCATACACGTACAGAGTGTACTGCAATAAAGTTTTTAAAACGTGAGATTAAAGGTTTTCGTCGAGTGGGGAACGTCAGCTTTGATCTTGAACTTCTTACTCGCGTATTAGTGACGTTATACAATATTATGTTTATGTCACTCATTTTAATTGAATTATCAACGATTATAGATCTGTTTAAATTTCACAACTGTGATCTAATATTGGGGAGTAGATACTTAAGGCCATGAGATTAAGGGAAATCCATAAGAAGGTTTAATCAAAAGATAAATTTAAACACGTTTTTTTTTTTTTTTTTTTTTTCTTGAATGCATGTTTTGCTTTCGTTTAAATAATTGCATAATATGTTTCCAAGCAAGTTGAATTTAAGATTTTACACGAAAAAAATATTAAGTTATAACTGAGGAAATTTTGAAGAAACAAAAAGAAATAGTAGTTGTTTCATAATTGAAAGTTTCATAATTGAAAACTATAGTGTAGTATTGAAAACATCTTCCAATAACGTTCGATTGAACCAATAGCGTTATATTGAACTAAATTTAGCATGTGTTCCTTGACTTTTTTTATTATTTTTTTTATTTTCTATTCTCTTTCTTTTTTTTTTCTTTTTTTTTTTTTCCTTAATTTGATTTCTTGTAATTTTCATTGCAAGCAAATTATGAATATATATATATATATATAT